CGGGCTTAATTGGCTTCTCTACATTCTCCTAGGCCTGAATGTGTGCGTGAATGTCTCTTTGTTGCCCTGCGATGGACTGGCGACCTGTCCAGAGTGGACCCCACCTCTTGCTCATTGACAGCTGGAGACGCACCAGCACCCCTTGAGACCCCGGCATGGATAAGCGTGACAGAAAACGGATGGACATTATGATGCAGTTGATCTGTTATTGTTTTAATTTAATAGAAGATTGAGAAAAAATGATGCAGTGAAAAACAGCCTTGGTATTTCCAGGCCTCCTATTGTCTGTCTTACTGTTTGGGGCAGCAAAAAAAAAAAAAAAGAAAAAAGGGCCCTGACCTTTGGGAAAATATTATTGCTTAAACTGATGTATGACATTTTCTACTTTGATTAAATGGTATATTCTCTGTTTTTTTTATTTTATTTTTTTCAGTTCTGAACAATAGCTAATTAAAAACGGTTCTCTGTATCAGGTCACATCTAGGCATCATTTGGATGAGTTCTGTAAAAATAGCCTGATTCACAAAAAAAACACAGAATTCCTTAGTTTTAGTTACATTCAATTCTCTCATTCACTGCATTGCCAAAAGCTGTTTGCTCACCTCCCACACAAATAAAACGGACATCATGTTTTTAATTTGCAGGGATTAGTACACTGCAAAAAATAGAAATCTAAATAAGTCATTTTTGCTTATATTAAGTGCATTTTTTCTTGAGTTGAGGAGGTAAGAGAGACACTATACCAATGGAACGAGACAATTTACATTTAAAATAAGAAAAAAACCAATTGCTTTGTCTTATTTCAAGTGCATATTATCTAATTAGCTCATTTTAGTGGTAAAAATACTCATTCTATTGGCAAATCATCTTATTTACCTACTGAAATTAAGGGTAAGTACAATTAATTTAAGATTTTTTTTTTTACCTATTTCTAGATTGTTTTTGCAGTGTATGATGATACCAAAATGGCTCTGAATCTTCTGGAAAGGCTGTCTTCAAGGTTTAGGTATATTTCTGATCATTCTTCTAAGGTAAGACACGGATGTTTTGGATGATTTAGCTCACAACCTCAGCTATAATTCATCCCTAAAGTAATATTTTGGGTTGAGGCCAAAAAAAGACGAAGGTTAATCAAAATCCTCTACACCAAGAAAATTGATTTCTTCCACCTGCGGCGAGAGAAGTGATTGTGATCTACTTCCAATCATTTGGATGGGCGAGTGAATACTATTAGCTGTGTCTTGTAGGAGAATCTCCACAGCATGACGGCCACCACCGTGCTTCACTGTGTAGCTGGTGTGATCATAGCGACTTTATAGGCATAAATTACCGACATCAAAAAGAGATATGGAATTGTAAAACAGAGCATTTAAACATCTTAACCATTGTTACTGAAAAAACAAAAAAAACAAAGCAAAATGTAGGTAGGTGGAAGATGATGAGTATGGAAGAATGAAAGGACCCTAAAGGAGTCTTCAGTCTTGTCTCGCCCTCTATGCCTAAACAGAGCAAGCTTGTAGAGACATCATGATCAAAGGAAGTCTGCACTAACAATCATCTATTTGGGGAAAAATAAGTTGCAGCAAAAAAAAGTATAAAAGTATATCATCATAAGAGTGTAGTTTCTCAGTAGATATGTTTGCAATGTGTAAATTTTTTTACTTTAAGTTTTTTTTACTCTTTAATGTTTTGAATCTTTTAATGTTTGAATTTTCAATACTCGAGTTTGTTTTAATGTTCTAGCATTTCAATTCTCAAGTGTTTAACTTTTCAATACTGGAAAGCTTTAGTATTTGAATTTTCAATGTTAGAAATGTTTCCGAGGTTGAAATGTTAAAATTTTAAAATTTTTGGTTTTTAGCTTTTTCTTTTTTATATATACTTACTTTTTTATTGAAAATACAAAACTTGCAACATTTTACCCCAAATCATCTTTGCAAAATGATTTTGATCGATTTGACAAACAGAACTAAGCGATAACCCACAGAACAGGGTTGCAGTGGTGGTGGGGGGAACTATTTCTTCCTTTTGGTACAAAAATATAACCACTGGAGCATTAATGATGAAATGAAGCAGAAAAGATTACAGAAAAAGGGAATTTACAGGTTTAACATAATCTATGGACTTAGAACACAGTCTGTAAAAATGGTTTGAGAGAATAAGACAGCTTCTCCATCATGTAAATTTCTTGCACCACATTTATCTAATCATCCATTGTAAGAGGTTCTGGTTTAAGCCACCTACTTTACTTTTTTCTCACAGCTCATAACGTTTCTTTATTAGCTGCAAACAAAAGTTTCTTGTCTTTATGGCTGAAATTGTCCACCTGTGTATTTCCCAAATATATTGCAAAGTCCAAAGGAAAAGTAAGATAAAAAACATTCTGAATGCGCTCATTGATGCAGGACAAATACTGGTGGATAACTTGTAATTGGCCCCAATGCTCCCACATCTCCAACTAGAATCATTAACCTTTTCTAAAACAAATGACTTTTTTCCAACTAAATCCACACCATCTAGTCGCCCATTTGTTTCAAGCTTTGCACGTCGATTGTCAAATTACCCTCCTTTACAAGGTATTATCTCCTTTAGCCTGCAGAGTGTATTCATACAGTTTAGATATGATTTTATTGTGCGCTCCTTGTTTGATTAGTTGTGCAAATGTCTCCACAAATCCAAGATCATTGGAGTTCACTTTTAAGTTCTACCTGAAGTAGTGTCTGGCCTGAAGATACATAAAAAATTACTAGAACTTCATTTCTGATGACTTTTCAGGTTTTCAAAGCTTAACTGTGCCCCATTGTGCTCAAACCACTAATAACATATTTACCAGACTATAAGCTGCTGCTATTTCCCACGCTTTGAACTATGTGACTTTTCTGTTGATTTTTCCTAACCGCCAGAGGTGGGAAATATAAGTTAGAAATAAAAGAATAAGGGAATAATTTTCATTTAGCACAATAACAGACATATGTCGCAAGTTCACACATTTTGACATTTATTTGCCTCATTGAAGCTGCCGAACCAATGAAGAGACAAGGTTCAACTCCTGCAGAGCTGAAATAAAGAGCTGACTAAGCCCCATCTTTCAGTAGAAGCTCTTACTGCTGCGTGCAACAAGCTGACGGGAGATAGCATTCTTCTTCGTCCCTATTCTAGGGGAAATATGTAGAGCTCCCCCTACAGGTTGGGTGGGAGACAGTTCAGTATGTATCAGTGGCTTATAGCCCGTTGAGGCTGATATATGTATGTTTCCTGTAAAAAAAAAAAAAAAGTCGGCACGGCTTCTATTGAGGTGCGCTCTATAGTCCTGAAAATAGGGTAATTAGTTAGATCTTTAGGGAACCAATTCCTGAATCTGTTATCGTATGATCTGGGGTAAAATTAGCGTCATATGCCCACTATTGTAAGGTTTTCCAGTCATTCTCCAAGCCACTGATCTTAAATGCTTGATTTCAGACCACTAACATAACCTCTAAGGAGGCCCAAGTATGGGTCTTTAATTGAAAGGTTTAGTATTTGACTCTGGCCTCTTTTCCTCCCCAGATAAATTTGGACAACCTTCTGTCCACCTCTACAAACTGTTTAGGAGGGATTGCAATTGGCAGGCTTTGGAATAAATAAAGCATTGTGTGGAGTATATTTAAATCTTTTTGATTCCTTCCTAAAATTAAATCCAAAAAGGGTATAGTGCTCCAGCTTTCTATGTCTCCTTTTAGTGTTGTATTCAAGGTGCTATAATTTATTTCAAACATTTTGATAAAATTTCAATGTATCTTTAGACCCATATATTTGATGTTGTCTGCATCCAATTCCCATTATAACGCTGCCTAATGTCATCAGGTGGGTCGTCATTAAAAGTCAGCACCTTTTTCTTTTTTACATTTATCCTAAAGCCTGAAAAAGAACCATAGGGATTCAAATCATTAACAAGTTGTCAGCATAAAGTGCTAGTTTTTGCTCTCCTCCTGGAGTTATAACTAATTTATGAAGTTTTTAGCTTTTTCACTGGTCTAGGTTACAATTTAAATTCTATTTTTTTCTTTTCAATGCCGATGCAAACAGTCACACATTTAGCATCTGCTAACCCTGCTTTAAAGATAACCCTGTCTTTAGAAAAAAAAAAAAACTCTTTTATGGGCAACAAAATACAAAAGATCTAATGCTTATCAATAAATCTTAAAACAAGATCACTTGTGGCACATTCATTGGTTGTTCTAACAATAACGCGACAGAAAATAATTTTTTTGTACCTTTGGAAGTTGTACGTAAAGGATTAGGATTTGTGAGGGTTTAGGTCTGCTTCTTTTAAACCTTGTAAGAATGAAAGTTGTCTTTTTTTTTTTTGATATAAGGAGACTTTGAATTTAGTTTGAGTTTGCAAGTAAATGGAAAGCAATTTTCATACCAAATGTGTGGCCAAATAAACACAGGTTGATTTGGCCACACATTTGGTATGGCCAAATTTCTAGGTTTGGTGTGAGATTTTGCTACTGCTTCAATAAATTTGCGTATTTAAGAGTTTTTCCCCTAAATTTCTGAAAATGCATAATTCACCGAGAACATGAATTTTGTTCCATTATTGTTGCAAAGAACACGTCTTATAAATGAAAATTTTAACAAAAAAGCGATCCAACAGGTTAACATTTTTTAGATTTTTCTTTTTTCAAACTTCTCTTTCTTATATTTTTTACAAATTGCAAAATGCCATTATGTTTTCCACATCACATTCTCTTACTTTCGGGTGCCTAAGCAGAGAGAAGCAAAGACACATTTCTATTTGTCATCATTAACATTAGAAAGCACATTTGTATTGTGCTTGAAATTAAGAGAATGTGTTCTGTCAAACACAACATGAGAATGCAATTAGTAAACAGCAATTAGTAAACATTTGAAAAAAACAATATTTAAAAAAATCTAAAAATAAAAAAAAAAAGTGAAAAAATTAAGTTTGACATAAATACAATTTGAAAAAATAACATATAAAAAAATTGGAAGAAATAAAATTAAAAGTCACTCAAAAAATTTAATTAGATTATAAAATTTTACAAAGTTTTATCCCAGGATTGCATTTCTTTTTATTTCCATTTACAAAACATGTCCTTCATTTGCAGCAATAATTGAACAAAATGCAACCCCTACATTAAATGTTTTTAGTCTAGTTATCTCTTTTGGGGAATCAGATGTATGACTAAATTACACACGCATTGGCTGGATTCTACCTCTGTAAGGTGAGTCATATTTCATCCTGTCTTCCCCTACAGTGAGTTGAAAAAAAAAGACTCTGAGAACTTGCACTCAGTGACAGATCTGGGTCCAGTATAGACCCCACCACTGAGTGCGTCCTCTTTTGGCCTTCACTTCCTGGCATCCCTGCTGGTGCTTGGCCAAACCACATGGGAAACTCAGCCAAATTCTTAATGCATCAGGGGATAATGCCCCATCCGTATTCCCCACTCGTCCTGCTGCAGACCACAAACAGCATACGGTGCTGAATATGCAGTGCTGTACAACCAGGCTTCAATACCTTCCCCAAACCCTGCTGCGAAGTCTTTCTAAAAGTTGGCACAGCAAGCGGGCCTATTCATTTTACAGTCGGAAGTGATAATAACTCAAAAGTGGGTGAGGGACTCCTTGTCAATCCTTGAACTCTGCATGAGTCATAGCTGCACTCAGTCATCGCCGTGCAGGTTAAATATAGGCTGGGGGGGTAATAAGTCTGTCAAGTCTGAGACGCTGAACTAATGGGAGAGTTTAAAGTTCCAGTTAGTGAGACAAAAGAACAGATGCATCATTTAACTGATGTAAGGATAGAGGAAAAGGCTGGAGACGACACTCGTCATGCAATACTTGATAAAACTCATACCGCAGTCAAGGCTGGGACTGTTCGAGCAAACACAGTAAGAGGAGCACCAAACAGCAATGTGCTTATAAGAGCCACACCGACACAGAGAGACAAGAAGAGAGATGAAGAGGGCAGGAACAAAGACGGAAAGGAAATAATGCATACGTGAAAGCTAGTTGGAGTTGTGTGCTGATTGATACCTGGACCAGCTGATCTGGACTTCCCCCCACCTTTCAGCTGTCATCCAGATGTTAAATTGACATTCACATCCGATAACTGACCCCCGCCCTCCCGGGGGCTCCATGCTAACAATGAGACGTAACAAAAACGTATGACTTAAGCAGCTCTAGTCAAGAGTCCGCTGTACATCGGCAGGAAGGAGGCGAGAGTCCAGCTTTGGGTGCAACAAAATCCTGTCTTCCTGTCACCAGTTTGGCTGCTTGTAGCCAGTTCTCCATTGAGTGAAGAAGATCCCTTTAGTTTAATCTTTTCTTCAGTGTTTATTTTTTTCTGAGAATGGCTTTCTGTTGGTCTCAGGGTCTGAAAGAAACACAGTTACATGCTTACAGTAGGTCTAAACACATGTTCAATCTTAATTATTACAAAAAACCCATCTCTGGTGCTTTTAATACTAAAGAAAATCTATCGCGTAGTTTGGAGAGAAATGATAACACCATGCAAACCCAACAGTATGCAAGCAAAGCAGAGTTTGTGACCTCACCCGTCCTGAGGTCTTAGGTTGGTTATTGCAGAAGGCAATATAAGGTTGGTCCTAGACGTTGCTGCGCAGTAACCCCCCTTGTGGGTGCTCAGGTGTACTGCACTCTGAGGAGTTCTTGGCTTTGTCCTTGTTGTTGTTGGGCTCGTTGTCTTTGATGATGTCGTACTGACGACAAAACAAGGCGATCACCCCTGAGAGACAGCAGGATAAGGATGGTTTAGTCAAAGAAATAACGTCTAGAAACCTTTTTCCTAAAATCTTGCTCCTTTTATGCAGCCTTGCATAGAGAAATACAGAAAACCACCAAAAGTTGTAAAACTTTATACAAGATACGAGGAGATTCCATAAGTAGTGCCCTATGACTCGCTTCCATTTGTTTGATCTATCTGAACTTTTGCATGTGCAATTTTTTATATCTCTATAGATTAAGTGGCAAATGACAGCTCTGAACTAATTAGGGTTTGTGATTTACAGGTGTTTGAGGAGTCTTAAATGTCTTAAAAGTCTTAAATGGAGCCTGTTGAGTGTCAAGCAGGGATCTGGTTTCTGTATTTGAAAGGATGCACGCCACGAGAGACTTTTGATTAAATTAAACTAACCTATGGTGATGAGGCCCCATCGAATGACCTTGTAAAAGATTTTACATGGTCACATGATGGGGTGTATTCTAAATTTCTCTATACCATTACTTATTGAACACCCTTTGTATTCTTTTATTTTTTTACATACTTCAATAATCCCAGAGGGATTCCATTGGGACCAAGTAGCACTAAATTGGTGAGTTAGAAACGACACTGTGAAGGAACGCTATGGACAGAGGAAACATGCAACTGGAGGAGAGTTTTGTGTCAGAGCTCGTTGATGAGTCTCCTCCGTCATACATTTCTTATTTAGTGGAAGAAAGCGGAGACGAAGATGTTGTGGAGGAGGACGCCAAGGCGGCAGAAGCTTGGTTTGGTGTAGAAGGCTTACAGCCGTACATGTTTGAGCCCTTGCCTCGCAACGCTGCCAGTTCTGTTAGCTCTACGCCTGCTGAAGACACAGACGTCCATCCCCGTGAACACTGGGACGGAACTCAATGGGAGAGGAAATGATTCATATTTTTTAAACTGTTGTGTATATTAGCTGCAAATTATAAATCAAGATGCTATGACCAAAACAATTTGATTGACAGATGATCGTTGATATATGATTGGTCGAATTTAGGTGTGTACAGGCTGACGTATCACTAACTGGCCTGCATAAAATAATGAAAAAAAAAACCCCACGGATTATAAGACAGGATTGCAGTACATAAACTTCAACTTCTTCAGAACACTCCTCGTGTCAACACAAGAACCCCCTCCTTCCATCATGTTTCCCCTGTCCTTCACCAACTCCATTGGCTCCCAGTTCAATTCAGAATTCAATTTAAAATCCTTCTCTATACTTTCAAAGCCATCCATAACCTTGCTCCTCCATATCTGTCAGACCTCCTTCACATTGCCACCTCCTCCCGCTCCCTTAGATCCTCCTCCTCCATCCACCTCACTGTACCCCCAGCTCGACTTGTCACCATGGGGAGCAGAGCCTTCAGCCGCTCTGCTCCCCAGCTCTGGAACTCACTTCCTCCCGACCTCCGCAGTATTGACTCTCTCCCCTTATTCAAAGCCAGACTCAAAACCCATCTGTTCCAGCTCGCTTATCTGTGAATACACTGCTCCTTTCCCTATCAATAATTGTTTTTATGTTCCTGTATCTGTATTTTCATCTTTCTTTTTATTTATCTTTTGTATTTTTTGTAAAGTGACCTTGAGTGTCAAGAAAGGCGCTGTTAAATAAAATGTATTATTATTACATTTATATACATGTTTAAGCCAGAATGATTTGACATTGAAATATGATATCCCTACAATTCTATCCAAACTTGAAAAGATTAAGATTTTTCTTAAATTCTTGATCCACACCAGAAAACCTACCAAGCTAAATGATCTACCATTTCTGCTGACTGATCACCTGGACGGGATTCTACAAGGTACTGGCTGATGGCAACAAAAAGTGAGTGGTTTCTCTCTTCAACTATCAATAACAACAATTCAACCAGGATATAAAAAGGATGCAAAACCACTTAAGACCTCGTCTGTCTCGGTTGAAGTCGGTGTATAAGATTTAACTAAAAGAAAGATAGAGCAGGCAAAATATCCTCTATGGGAGAGGCCAAAACCACTGCTGACCCCAAAACAACTTTGTGATCCTCAAGACCTGAGGTAAAATATTCTGCAGAGTGACCAGACAAAAGTGGATCTTTTTGGGAGGTGTTACAGCTGAACTAAACAACATTTTAGAAAAAGACAATCAACCTACACGGTAAAAGGTCAGAAACACTGAAGTATTACAAACAATCTTTACTAGCTGACCAATGCATTTTGGTTTACGGCCTTCCTCAGAGTCATTAACAATGCCAACAGTCAAGCATAGAAGTAGTAGAGGTATGATTTTGGTCTGCTTTGTTCTCTCAAGACCTGGCATAAAACAGGGATCTTGATTTCTAATCTTAAGCTGAATATCTCAGTATAATCTTCAGCCTGGAGTAACTGACCTAAATCCCAATCATACTTTGGTTCTAAAACAAAAAAAATAATATCAACAGAAGAATACAGGAACCTCTGAATAACGTTAAAATACAAAAATGAAATTTTGGAGTTGCCCAGCAAAATCACATTTAATGTGTAGTAAAACAATAAACACGCCTCTCATTCCCAAAAACTCTGCAAGATTTAAATAAGGAAAGATGACACTCAGTGGAGATGTTCTTTAATGATTATTTATTCAGGTTATCTTTATCCAAAAATACTATTTGTATAATGTGCTTAAAAATATATGTTTGAGGGGAAAACAGCTAAAATACAGAAGTGGAAAGAGGTATCAAGTACAAAAACCTAGTACAAATACTTTGTTACCTTACTTAAGTAGAATTTTTAGCTATCTATACTTTTCTGGAGTATTTATTGAACTAATTGAAAACTTTTTACCTTCACTTCTCACTTTTTTTTTGCAATTATCCCTATTTTCTACTCCTTACATTTTAAAAATAGACTAGTTTGTTCTGTTTCATTTAAATTAATTTTCCTTTAGGCCTATTGGTAATAAACTGTTTTATAAAAAACATAAAAATAATTAGCTTTATCCCGACAATTATTTTCTTTGTGGTTGACTCGGTGCTGCACCAACTTAATAATAATAAATAGTTTTTCAAGATGATGCAAAGATGAATTTGATAATGTTACAATTAATTATACACCACAGCAAATTAAGTACAAGGAAGTTATCATCCATTTGTTGAATTGTAGAAAAATATTACTTTAATATGATAGTGCAGTATAAGATTTAGTCCTTTACATTTTGTTCTTGCATTACTTTTACTTTTATATGTTAGGTAGTTTTAAAAATGGTAGTTTTACATTTTTACTTAGTGAAAAGCTTAAGTTGATCGCTCTAACTTCTACAAAAGTGTTTTTAAACAGTAGGGTGTCTACTTCTACTTGAGTAATAAACAATAACTGTATTTAACTGAAACTTAAGGACCAAAAGAGAAGTAAAAACTTTTTTTTATCTGCTTCTAAATCCACTGTGTTATATCCTTGACCGAGGCACCAACAGTCTTGTCAATATCAGCTATGTGGTTGATACAGTGCCTGTCAGACAAATGATGGAAATGAACTGAGCTGGAGATATGAGCGGTGTGAAAGGAGCAGATGGAGATGGAAACTGAGACAGCCATTTGCAGCTTGCCTTGAGTCACCGATACTCAAAACACGACACAGGAGGTACAGATGCAGGAGCAGATAGAAAGGACGCTTACAGAAATGAAAAAGGGAATAATTCATGATGGTGGAGGAGTGTGCGATGGGATGAATCCAAGCCCAAACAGGCTTCTGTATTTCTGCCTATGTCAGCCTCTGCTGATCTAATCATTGCAGCACCAAGGGGCAAGATGGGATCTTTCCCTGTGCGTTCCCCCAGCATGCCCCACAGGCCCAATTAGGACTGAAAAACAGTATTCGCTTCTTTGGCTTTTTTTTTTTTTTTTTTTACAGCAATACTGTGCAACACAATTTTTTCTCCACCACTTCTTCACTTTCTGTGAAATATCCTTAGCTTTCCCTTTACCATGCCATTTTTTAAAACCAGTATTACCAAGGGATGGCTCCTGAAAGCCCCTCCCTGGATTATAGAGGCTCTTCAGTAGTCAGGCCATGTTTGTGCCTTTTTACGCCTAAAGCAAACCTGGAAGATTTAGGGTATGCATGGTAGAATGGTAGGGGGATTGTTGGACTAGTGGTTAGAGCAGTGCACTTGTGCTCTGACAAGGTTGCAAGTACACCGTTCTATCCCCACAGCCTGCACTCTGGGTTCCTGAGCAAGACCTTTAACCCCTGATTGCTCCCCGGGCGACACATAATGGCAGCCCACTGCTCCCCAAGGGGATGGGTCAAATGCAGAGAACGAATTTCCCCATTGTGGAACAATAAAGGGATTTACACATCTAGTACTATCATTATACAGCTCAACATAAACAGTAAATTTTGCAAAGTTAAAGTAACATTTTAATAGTTAGATTAAACACCAATCCAAGTGCATTTGGTCTCACTCTGAATTAGTGCTAAATGACTGATGTATTAGTGTCTAAAAGAGTCGATGTACTTTGACACTACATATTTAACACTGTGGAATCAACCCTGTGTATAAAGATCAGTAGTACGCACTGAAGAACAGACTTTATTTTGCAACCATGACAGGAAAAATAGTTTTCTGTGGCTTAAGATTTCACTGTAACTTCCATAAAACATCCCCAGCCGAGCAGTTTTACTTTCTCCTTTTCTAACAAACCTCCAGGTGGGTTTTAGTTAGGGAGAGTGTTCAACATTTAAGGATTGATTTTACATAAATAAATAAATCTGAAGTGTTGATGAGGATGGGATGACATAAAGTGTGCTGCAGCATTGACGTAGACACCAACCATAAAATCTGTTCAATTATTATTAAAACTATAACATTGGAAAAGATCCGTACCGTTGCTGTCTTGGTCAAGTAAAACCTCAAATTGAATTGCTGTTTATTTCGTTTTTATTTTTTGAATCCCGTTCACGGTTTTAAATCCTCCAGCTAGAGGATGCACAAACCCTCAACCTGCAAGGCCAGCTTGTTCCTA